GCGTGCCCCGTGCCGCTTTCTGTTGCTTGCGCCCGTGCCTCTCTGGCCCTGCCCCCCTTCTGCTGTCTGCTGGGGGGCCCGCTGCGCCAGGGGGCGCCGCCTGGGGGGTGGAGAGGGGCTATCAATGCCGATGTTCCGTGCCCTCGAAGTCCTGGCGGTAGATGTCGAAAGACAAGTGGGATAAGCAGAATAAGTTTTCCACGGCTAAGCCATGAGTTCGCCAACAATCTGGCATGGCTCAGGGCGCGCTGTTACTGCAGAAACAGCAGCGGCGCAACGCGCATGCACGCGCGTGCTGCTAGAGCGTACTTGGGCCTCGCGCGAACATGACAAGTGGGGCGGCAACGGAGGCGTTGCACCCGCGTGCGGGGCGTGCGGCTGCAACGGGAACTGGCCCCCTACGAACCCGCTGTGAGGGCGCGCCCGGGGCAGACATTTACACTGGCAGGGGGGCATCCTGCATATTTCTGAGGCAGCCGCAATGTCATCGGGCCGAAACTCAAAAAAATCACCGGGAAAAGCTTGCTGGCGGCGCGCAAAAACTGACGGGCCAGGACAACCCGCGAAAACAAAAACCTGGACCTCGAGCGTGTAGCTCGGGGCCGACGACGGCAGCTCGGCAAATGAACTGCCCTGGGCCAGATGCGTTCCTGCTCGGCCGCGGCGACTCCGCAGCAGAGCATTCCAAACTTTCTGCGCCCATCGATGGGCTCGAACGTCCCGCGGGCCCCGGCTATTGATCAGCCAAGTACAATGGATCCCGCAAGTCGAACAAGTGAGCCAGCAGCTGGAGGCAGTGCGGCCTGGGCTCAAGAGATGACCGTTGTCGACGCACTGGCAGATCCGCATCTCCGTCACCGAGGGTGTCGCCCGAGCCTGAGCCTTAGGCTTGGCCTTCGCCTTCGGCTATGGAAGAGGGCGTGCCTGGTCATTCTCGTTCGGGCCTCCTGGCGTCTCCTCGGGCGTGACCTCCTCCGTCGTCGTCGTGGCCTCTGATGCGGGGTTCAGGGGGGCTGCTGCTGGTTCTGGCTTAGCACGGTTCGACGCTGCCATGCGGAAGAGCCAGATCATCGACATCATGATCAACGGAGCCGCCAGGAGAACGCTGGGAGACATGGTGAGCGTAACAAGATAGGAGAAGGTACCGAACTGGCCCACAAACTCCATCTCCTCCTCGTCGTAGTAGTAGTAGTAGTAGTAGTAGTAATAATAGTAATAGTACTGGTAGCCGTAACCGTCGTTGACGTTGTTGGCGTCGCTGCCGATGACCAGGTCGAGAGCCTCGGTGGTGCCAGCCTGGCCCACCATCGCCATTGGCTATGGTGCGGGCAGCCGCCTTCCGCTGCTGCTGGTTGGAGGTCCCGTCGGCGTAGACACGGCGACGGCAACAGTGCATGAACGGCTGGCCCATCGGATCGCGCCCGGCCTCAACCTGCTGATTGCGCCCCATCGAGCGCGCACTTGGCCTTCTCGCCTCCGTGGTCATGAAGGCCTCGGCGCCGTCGGCGAACTCGCCGGCGACGTTGGCGTAGTCCTTGACGAAGCCTGCAGCGCGATCGAGCTCCATCTCAGCGTCACGCTCGGTCTTTGCGCTGAGCACCTTCCCCGCAACGTTGTTCGGATCGAACTTGATGGCGTGGTGGCCTCGGAGGACGGTCTCGGCTCAAGTCTGCCTCGCCGCAACCTTCGTGAGTCCGTCGGCCAGCTGCTGCAAGGTATTCGTCCAGCGGAGCGTTCAGGGCCTTCACGCGTTGAGTAGCTATCATCGCCTCCAGGGCCGTTCGTCGCTCTTAGATGCCCAAGCCTCCGCTGAGAGATAAGCTGGCGTCGTGCAGCCCCTTCGAGTCCACCGCAATCACGGATTCGCCCAGCTTGTGCATGGTCGCCTCGCCAATGATGGACTGAGTCGGGTCGATCATGCAAGTCGCGAACACGTGGGCCCATTCGAGAGCGTCCACGGCTATCCGCTGCCTGAGCATCTGACGCCCGGCTGCTCCGAGATAGACGGTCCAACTTACGCGAAGCCCAATCAAGAATGACGAGCGGCATCGCGCAGCCCTCGCTGATGGACTTCTCGCTGGACAAGAAAATGCGCCGACCCCTTGGGGTCACGGCGTGTGAGGTGCGCCCCCCCTCCCCGGGGGCCTGGTCCGGCCGGCTTGGAGGGGGTGTGGGGGTGGGGGCAAATCCGCCGTCCGCGCGTCGGGGCCTCAGGGGGCCCCGGAACGGGCCGAAAAGGTTCCAGATGTTCCCGGAACGGTCCAAGAGAGCCAATCGACGAGAGATCGCCCTGAAACGCCGAAGATTGCCACCACGCGGCTCTATGAGCCCCCAAGACGTTTGAAACAAGATTGCGAGGCGCCCCCAAGAGGCCCTCCAGAAGCAGCAATCGCCCCATTCCCTAAAGTAAATGTACATGCTCACCACATTCGCTCATTCGGCTTCCACGCGGCGCAAAACGGCCCAAGAAGCTTCGAATATCGACCCTCGCCAGCCCAAGAGGCTCCCAAAAAAGGCTCCAAGACAGCGTCCGAGCGATCCACGAAAGTCCCAGAAACCAAGGCAACGGCTCAGGAAAGCCGCAGGACGGTCCCAAGAGGGCTCCAAAACGGGCCAAGATGGCTGCCAAAGGCTGTCCAGACGGCCCACGCGGGGGACAGACAATTCGGTCTAGACCGCCCAGATCGCCGCCAGACGGCCTCATGGGTGTCCAAGACGTTTGAAAACGCGACCACGAGGCGCTCCAAGAAGGCCTCCAGAAGCAAATGCCGTCCCGTTCCCCATGTAAAAGCGTGCATTTTCAGCGCGTTCGCTTCTAGGCCTTTCGCGAGGCCCACAACGGCCCAATTAACCTCCAAGATCGGCCCCTGTCACCCGAGGAGGCTCCCAAGAAGGCCCCAAGACGGCTTCTGGGCTATCCACGAAGGCTCCAGAAACCATGGCAACGGCCCAGGAACGCCACAGGACGGTCCAAAGAGGGCTCCTCACCGTGCCAAGAGGGCCCCGAAAGGCTGTCCGGACGGACCGCGCGGGGGACGATTCGGTCCAAACCGCCCAAGATTGCCTCCAGACAGCCCCATGGGCGTCCAATACGTTTGCATGCGCGACCACGAGGCGCTCCAAGCAGGCCTCCAGAAGCAAAAACCGTCCCATCCCCTAGGGAAAAAAAAAACAACATTTTCAGCATATTCACTTCTTGGGCTTCCACGAGGCCCACAGCGGCCCAGTAAACCTCCAATATCGACCTCTGGCACCCCGGGGGGCTCTCCAAAAAGCTCCACGACGGCCTCCGGGCGCCCCGCGAAGGCCCCGAAAACCATAACAACAGCCCGGGGGAACGGCAGGACGGTCCTAAGAGGGCTCCACAACGTGTCTAGAGGGGCTTCACAGGCTGTCCGGGCAGGCCACGCGGGGGACGATTGCTGCCGCCCCAAGGGGTCGGCGGTGTGGCGTAAGCCAATGCATCAGGTAGCCGCCCTGTGAGCCCGTCCAGACGAGCCGCCCGCGACGAGTCTGAGTAAACTCCGAGGCGCCACTGAGACGTCTGACCAACGTCCTCGAAGTGCAGGGCCGCGTTGGAGTACTGCTTGGCGAAGCATGCAGTCTTGTTCGTGTCCAGCATGTCCTGAATCCTGGGGTGGTCGCCTGAAGCCCGTGCAAAAGGACGCGCTCGCCGAGAGGAAGACCACTCCCTGCGCAGCTGGCCTCTGTAGAACGCCGATGCATGAGCGTAGCGCTCTGCGCTCTGTCGCCGCGCACTCCTCCGTAGGTGAAGACCTTCGGGACTTGTCGATCGTGATCGGCCTGATCTTGTGCATGTACTCTTTCATGGACCGATTGATCGTGTTCAACAGCGGGCTCTGGATGACGTGACCTCCGCAGAACGCGAAGTCAGGCGAGAAATATCAACTGCCAAAACGGAGGTGCTTGTTGAGAGAGCGGATCCGGTCAGCGAAACCGCAGAGCTCCTCGCCATCGCATGGCTGAGTGTCCTGCTGCGAAGCAATGTCTTCACCACCTCCGATAGTATGGTCCACGTGTAGGCCCAGAACTTCATCAACTATCATACGATGTGAATCGTAAAGAGACGCGTCGAACTCGCTGTCCTTGTCTGTGGCCAAACGGATCGAGACGTAGACGCAATTGTCCAATGGATGTGGAGCGAAGTGCCGGTTAGCCATAGCGCTGTCGGCTGTAATCCACCACTGTTTCGGCGCTCGGGCGTCGCCGAAAACCAGCTTGTTCATGAGCAAGATCTCGTCGGGTTGAAGATCGATCATCCTGTCGAGGCTCCTTCTCGAATCTGCACGAGGTATTCCGTAAACTCTGTTCTCGATGTCCTCGCTCTGCATGGGAGCTGACTTCGCGCCAGCTGAGAAAACCTTCCACTTCCGCGTAGCACAGAGATGGAATATCATAATTTCTGCCCTGCCTCGATCACGTCGGGCTCTCGGTGTCCAACTTCTGCGTGGGAACGTCGATGTGCTTGAAGCCCTGCAAGGTGATCCTCGCGTTGGCCTGGCGGCCCTCGGGCCCCTGCTTCCACTTGAGGAGGTAGATCATGGGCGCGAATTCGTCGGGATTGGCGGTGTCCGTACGTGCTCGTTCCCACGCTCGACTTTCTATCCAGGGCAATAAGGTCTCATCCTCTGCCTGGCTGAACTGTTTGCGCTCCCCGGGGCTTAGCTTCTCCTCGCAGATCGTCTCCACGCGGTGCGACGCCAAATAAACAATGTCCTCGTACTCCTCGCCGTGCTCTTCCAGCAGAAGCAGTTCCTCGATCGCGAGGGCGCGCTCGTCGTTGAGGTCCGAGGTTGCGCTGTCGTAGGCGTAGCGCTCGGCTTAAGACCCTCGAACCTCATCCTCTTCACTGGTGGCAGGCCGTCCAACCTTCGAGCTGCATTGTAGGGGGTCCAGAGGGGCCTGCTGGTGATCGGTTAAAGGCTCTTCCCTCAAGGCGTCATGCTCCCGAGGTCTGCTTGCCTTCTTGCGCACTTTATCTACTTCAGGTTCTCGTGATGACGTAGTGGTCGGTGCCTCCGCTGGTGGCGAGAATCTCGTAGGTGCCGTGCTCGTTGGTGGCGTTGGCGCCTGTGTGTGTGCCTCCGTCGGCGTCGGTGTCGCTCGATCATCCATGGTCGTATCTTCTCGGCCCTCGGCAGTCGCGTAGTGATCGTCTTGTCCGGGTGCTGGAGGCTCTAGCGTTGCCGTATGTGGGTCGCGATCGTCTCGAGCGCCAGCTGCGCGAGCGCCGTCTCCGGCAGCTTCTGGGGGCGCCGAATCGCCGGGGGGTGCGACGGCGGCTCCATTACCAAACCCCAATTCTTCGACAACAGGGCCATGCAGATCATCCGCGTCGATGACCTCGGGTGGCGGGTGGGGGCGATTATCGCGGAAATTGACTGTGCCGCCGCGCTTTGAGAGCCCGCGAGCAACTTCGTTCATCAGCGCGAACTTCTGGGCGGGTTCGCGACGTTCGCGGGCAACCCGTTCTTCAGGATGCTCTGGGCGAAATGGTTTGTGCAAGCGCCTGATGATCGACGTCCCGTGCGCGAGCCACGGCGCCTTGTCCTTGACCTGGCCGTCCTTTGCCGTCGGCTCGATAAGACAGACCATGGCTGGTCCTCTCCAATTGCATTTTTGAAGCTTACGATCTCCCTCAACTCCAGTAGTAGCGCATCTCGCCCGCCTCGCACCGACGGCGTAAAGGTCGCGAACGTGCCGGCAGCGCCGAGCGCGCCGCTCGACTGTTGTTGGCCGGGATGGAGGTCAGCGCCGCAGACACCTTCTCGGCCCAGACTCCTGCTGACCAAGGTTGTCTTCCTCGTCTGCCAAACCTCCCCCAAGGGGCGGCTGGCATCCCGGGGCCAGCATTTCAGGATGAACGCCTGGAGCTCCCCGAAGAGGATTGCGCTGCGTGCAGGTGACGCTCAACACGTCGCCGAACTCGTCGTTTCTGTGGCGTTCCCCGTGCAGGTCGATCTGTTCTCGCCGCGCAGCGTTGTTGCGCTCCAAGATGCCCAGCTCGCGATGGCACCCCTTCGGAATGACATGCAAGATGATGTGGCGAGCGTCGGTAAACCTCTTAGACTCCGTGCTTGCGTGCGCCCCGTGCATGTCCAGGCGCAACTTACGAGGCGGCCCGAAGACGGCAAACCAGAATAGCGACAACACTTTGATCAGTTCAGCAACGTTTTCAACCGGCATGTGCACGTCCGCTTCGCACCTCGAGAACTCGTCCACGACTGTAGGTGCGCTCTGCTTCGCAGGGGGGCTACCCCAGAGCACGTGGAACGTATCCATGTCCACCACCTCGTCGAACGAGCGTGCAATCTGGAGAGTGGCGACTTTAAACAAGCTTTGGTCTTTGGTGCTTGTAGCGGTCTTTACGCAGGTGCAATGTCGCGCGCGATGAGAACTCTCGTGGTCTGCCCATGTCAATCATCTCGGCTGCGAGGCGCTCTGGCCGTGGATGCTCGGGCTGCAAATGAAGTTTCTCAACCTCCTTGATCGCCGACATGTCGAACTTTCGTATTCAGCTGATGGTAGAGCTCCCTGTGCTCGATCTGGTGCACTTCGCCTTTGGGCGCCTCTTCGACCAAACTCGCTGACTCCGCGCGTCGCTGGATTCAGTCTTCGAGAACAATCTTGGCCAAGAGGTGCGACAGCTTAGGCTCGTAGTGTCGGGGGAACCTCTTCAGCTGCATGGTGAGGTCGAACGCAATCGCGTGCCAAGCCCAACTTACTTGCAATATATCCTGAAGTATCGCTGAACCTGCTAGCAGAGTCTGAGTGGCCCATGAACTTCATGCACCTCGTGAAAACACCGAGCTTGGAACGGCGTCGATCCAGCGACGCGCCGAGGCAGGGCCTCATCTTCCTCAAAACTGGATGCGTACTGGGGTCTATCGTCATGCCAATCTCTATCGCGGCCCAATGCCCGTCGTTCCGTTGGCCCATGAAGGCCACTCGTGTCGCTTGGTAGGAAGCGTCGGTGTCAGCCCGGCAGTGCGCGACAGGAAGGCGAGCGAAAATGATGTGATCTGGCTTGCGCTGGTTACGGTGTTGCTCAAACTCGCGTGCAACACCCTTTTGAATAACATCTCAAACAATCTGAACATATATCCACCTCGACGTGCTGTCCAAAACTTTCGCCAGGAAAACCATTGTGTACGAAACATTCCCAGATGCAGATCTTGCCAGTGCTGTGCTTCTTCAGGTACTTCGTAGCGTGGAAAGCGACGGAATGGTGGATGTCTTTCTGGTCGTCGCGTGGCAGCTGCTGCTCGTCCTCTGCCTTCGGCTCCTCGTCGCAGGCGAACTCGTAGTGGCAATTATCGTAGCCGATCTCGTCGTCGTCGTCGTCGTCTACGCGGTAGTACTGCGCAATTGTAGCGTTCTCTTCGATATCAATCTGTTTCACGTTCGTGACCATCATCGCCATGTCCTCGGGGTTAACGCCAGAACGCAAGTCGAAGACGAAGTGCTTCGTGATGGGCGACAATTCCACATCGAACCGACCGCGATCAGGATGATCAAGTAGATGACCTTTGCTATTGCGGTAATCTTGAATGAGCCCCATGCAGCAATAACTCTACGAGGTAGTACGAGGTGTCCTCCCAGGAACGATGCATGCACTTAAACGTCGTGGAATTTGACAGAATGATACAGTACATTCTGCCATGCGCGTCGCGTGCAAGACATTGTCGTCCCCAAACTTGAAAATTTGATGACACCTTGTAATCCGGACCTGATCTGCGACTCCCTTCCCGCTCAGAGTTTAAACCAATTTCTGCCAATTGTCTTCGCCCAAAACTAGGAAGGTACAGCCGCTGTCCTCGACCGCGGTGCCGGCCTCGACGTAAGGGGCGAACTCCCTGTGCTCGTCGGCCTTCTGCTACGCGGTGTCGTCGGGCTTCTTCGTGGGAAACTCGTCAGAGATATCTGCAACCGTCCGAACCTCGTCTGTCTCCATGCCTTTGCCAACAATTTTTACGCTTCTGGAGTCTTGCCGAACACGTTCGTAACGAGGCCCGTGCTGAGGCGTGGGTTCCGTCGCCATCGAACCCGCTGGCCCCGAAGCCCCGGGAGGAAAGGGTCGGTCTCGGAGCCGCGAAGCGAGGTGCTGCGAAGCAAGGTGCCGCAGAGCGTGGGCTCGGTCGCGCCGCCGGTGCTGCTCCTCATGCAGGTTTACCTCCTCTGCCTTTTCCTCCCCGACCTTCGCCTTTGCCCTTCGAGCTTCCGCCTTTTCGCCTGTGGTGCTAGAGTCAGCGTCGATTGCAGCTCGCTCTCGGGGATGACGGCCATGACAGGGTAAAAATCACGGCTGTTGGCTAGATCTCTCATGCGACGTCGTGACTCTGTATGTGGCGTAGGCCTCCTCCGTCTTGTCGCAATCGTCATTCGACTCCGTCGGAATCTCAGTTTTGCAAGACTCGTCGCCGTAGCCATAATAGACCTCATCGCCATCATACCATACATAGAGCTGCCCGTCTTCTCCAACATAAACTTTTTCCTTGCCGATGTATTTACTTTCTTCGTCCACGAAGTAGACCGACTCGATCTCGCCAACGTTGTCGTCCTCCCAAGACTCGGTCCAGTAGACGTCGTCGCCAGAGCTCGTGCCGACCATGCCCATGTTGATAAGTTGGATGTCCCTGGCGTCGGCCTTCGAGTCTGGACCGAAGATGTCACGAAGTGCGTCGCGAATATGCCCTTGCAATGCGTCTTGATGTTAACGTGCATCCACTGAGGCACCCCGGGCCTCGCCAACATATGCCAACCAAGTAACTTGCTGGGCAACTAAATGTCTACCTCGCCAAGTTTCTTCAACTCCAGCTGATGCCTGGCGAGATACTTCTGCATGGTCTCGCTCATTTCGCGGGCAAGCTGGTGGAAGAAATTGGAGCATCTCTCGGGCATTTCAACGATTTCCTCGTCGAACTTGTAGTTGGTGTCCAGCAGCTCCCGGATGACGTCTACAAGGGAATCGGCCTCCAAGCGATCCAAGTCAACCATATCAGCCAAGTCCCACTCGGTCTCCTGAAGGCGCGCGAACATCAAGTAAGCGCCTCCCACCACTGTCGAAAGACAAATAGAATAAGCAGAGTAAATCTTCCCACGGCTAATCTATGAGTTCGTCACCAATCTGGTATGGCTCAGGGCGCCCTGTTAAAGCCAAAAAAACACCAGCGGCACTACACGCAGACACACACATACTGCTAAAGCGCACCTGGGCCTCACGCGAACATGACAGATGTGGCGGCAACGGAAGCGTTACACCCACAGGCGGGGTGTGTGGCTGTAGCGGGGAACTTGCCACCTACGAGCCCGTCGTGAGGACACGCCCGAGCATCCTGCATATTGCTGAGGCAGCTGCAATGTCAGGGGTGGGCCCCAGATTCCTGGCCGCTCCAGGGTGCCCCGAGATTCCCGCAGGGACGCCACCAGGCGGCCAGAAAAGCCCAGGTGGCTGCGAAGACGGCCTTGGAGGCTCGAAGAGCGCCTCAGGAACCCAAAACGGGTCAACGACGCCCCAAGATGACCCCAAGACGGTCAAAGAAACCTCCAAGACGCCCCATGAGGGCCTCCATGGGGCCGAAACAGTGCCTCGCATTGAATTTACTTTCGCGTTCTCGCCTTTTCAGGGTTTCCCAAATCGGCCCAAGATGCCACCAATATGGCCCCAAAAGGCTCCCGAAATAGCCTCGAGGGCCCCAAGATGGCCGACGAGGCCCCAAAGACGGCTCCAATACTGCCCAAGAGGGTCCCAAGACGGTGCCTACATAACCTCTCAAGACTCCCAGGACGGCGAAGAGGGCCGCAAGACGGTCCGATGATAGCCAAGGAGGCCCCAAGAAGTTCCCTAAGGCCCCCAAGCAACTCCAAGAAGCCCCCCGAAGGCCCCCAAGAGGCCCCATGGAAAATCTCAGGAGGGTACAAAAGTGGGCCCCGAGAGGAAGAGGAGACGGAGGATGAGGAGGAGCAAACTGACAATGAAGAGAAGGAGGAACAGAAAGATGACATAGAAGCGGAAGAGGAGGAACAGAAAGATGACCATGAGGCGGAAGAGGAGGAACAAGAAGAGGAAAACAAGGAGTTCAGGCGGAAAGGGTGGGAAAGGGGAACGGCGAGGAGAGGAGGATAATGATGAGGAGGGACGGGCGGTCGCAGCGACCAGACTTTTATGCGTTCTGGACGTGCACTCCGCAAAACGATGAGAATCTATGAGACGGCTCAGCCTTGGGGACCGGCGACAGAGGGCGCAGACCTTCATGTTATATTTGTCTACGTGTGTGAATCTGTATGTATATAAACACAATCTCTGGAGGGAGTGACATGGAGAGAAAAAGAGAGAGAGAGAGAGAAAGAGGGAGAGAGAGATAGACAGAGATAGATAATGTTATATAGGTGGAGTCGCCGAGTGATTCACAACCTGACAACTGGGAACATATCAAGAGCCATTGGGTGCAAGACTCACGCACCGTTCGTTGGGCGAATGGTGGGCAAACGACGATCGGGCGAATGGCTCTACTCTCCATCCAAGAGGGAACCTTCTAGGTATCGCTGAAATACATTTGACTCATCGCATCCTCTCCGATCGCAACGCTCGGGTCGGGCGGAAGGGGGTGATAGCAAAGGGGGGGTTGAGAATCAGCTCACGTAGCTGATTTTCCCGGCGCCTCCCGGCGCCGGAGGCGGCTATGTATCGAGGAATGGGCCCCTCGGTGAGGCCGAAACCAGCTGCATGCAGTAAATCTCGTAACCCCCCCTTTCCCAATCGCCTCCTTTCGTCCGGCCCGAAACACATACCGACAAACGTCGGCCGCTCTGAGGTCCTCGCCTCGTCCGGGTTGCTCGGGCTGGTCATCCTGGCCCATTCCCGCCCCGTCTCTCTGCGGCACTTCGGCCCTCCCTGCCGCCCCGCGCTTCTGCACCTGGAGTTAAGTCGGGCGTGTCCCCCTACAGGGGGATTTGGGCGAAAAACAAAAAATACTTAAAAGATACCCCCCAAATGTTCAAAAATAGTCAAAAAATCGTTTCCAGACTTTTTTGGCTATTTTTGGAGATTCCCCCTGTAGAGGGACACGCCCGACTTAAACCTAGAGCGAAGGAGATCGGAAGGCGTGAAGCCTCTCTGAGACCCGACGCCGTGAAACATGCAACATCGTAAACATCACGACCAAAACCCTAGACCCCATCATTCTGTGCCATTTTCCGAGACGGATCGATCCGTCACAAGGCGAAATCGCCGGGCGTAAAACAATTGCGATGCCAAGACCTCAGTGCTGTTACAACCAGAAAGGCAGGCGCCGCGTGCGTTCAATCGAACAAGCGCAACGTGATGCCGGCGCGTGGGCCCCGAACAGGTGGGGGTGGAACTTTTGGGTGGGACCCTGAGGCGGCGACTGCGCACTGGATGGGCGGGGCACCGTGGGCGGAGCCCTGCTCGCGACGACGGCAGAGCCCCCATGCCCACGCCGCTGGACGCTTTGGAGTCATCGTGCTACCATAGGGAGCGCTCAATGGGGAACGCAGCCCCTTTTCGGCCCCAAGGGCGCCTAGGCAGAACGAGGAGTGCCAGAGAAACATCCCTGAAAGGATGTGAGGAACAGCGAGCTTTTTCCGAACCCAAGCCCTTCCCATGTTTCCTATCTCAGCGCCTCGACTGTGTCGGCGGAAATCCATGGAAGCAGCCGTGGCGATGACGACGGCCGAGGCCGCACACCCATTGCACAGGGCCCTTCGGGCTGGACCTGGTCGGCGACGACGGCCAAACTCCCACGCCGATCTTGCGGGGCCGTACGCTTTTTCCCCCAAGCGCGACGATGGGCCCGCAATCACCGTGCCAGCTAAGACGGGACGCGTTCAAACCAATGGACCACCCTGTGTGGGAACGCGTGCGTGACCGACAGGACCGTGCGCATCGGATCACATGGGCGGGAACTTCTTGGTTGCAAGACCCACGCCGCAAAACCCCGTGGGTGGGACCCCAGGGGCTACGTCGGCCGAGCTCCCGCACCAGTGCTACGGGGCGCAGTTGGCCGAACTGCACGGCAAGGCTATGCAGGCCCGGACCCATCGACGACGGCGGCAGAACTCCAAGCCCGCGCCCAAATCACGGAGCTGTATCGGCGAAGCCGTACGGGCAGGGTCCCCTAGCGGCGGCGAACTTCGAACACTTGCCCGCGCCCGTGTCGCAAGCCCTATCGGTCGAGACCGTATCGGCGACGACGGCTGGCGCCCTGCGTCCATGCCACGGTGCTCTGCTGGCGGAGCCCCTTCGGCGGCGACGGCCGAAACTCCGCCGGCGCTCGTGTTGCGAGACCTTCTTGTCGGGACCGCCTGGGTGGGGGGGCCCACTGGCGACAACGACCCATCCCCGCCCGCGCCCATGTCACCAGGGTCACCAGATCACGCGTGCGGGACGGTGGGTAAGACCGTATCGGAGACCACGGCCGACACACGCCCGCGTCCGTGCAGCGGGACCCTGCGAGCGGGGCCGCATGAGCCAGTCGGGTCGCCAACGAGAGCCGTACCCAGCCCGCGACGTGGGCGAGGCCCTGCGGGCGCGATCCTCCAGCGACGACGGCCGAGTCCCTCCGCCCGCGCCTACGTCGTAGAGGCCTGCGAGCGGGACACTGGCGATGACGGGCGGAACCCCCGCCGCCGACAGATCATAACAACTTCAATGCAGCCACAGCTCATGTGCGTTGCCTAACTAAGTAAAGTGCCCATGATGCAATGGACACGCGTTTGAATCCCACCAGCCCTTTGGGCTAAGGTGGCACAAGCCCTCTTCCCTTCTTGGAGGTTTACCTCTCCCCCCTCCCTGGATCTGGACAGGGGGGGGCCGCGAGGTGTCAGAAGGTCCTTTCCGCCCAAGATGGCTCCAAGAGGGCTCCCGACTCAAAGATGGCCTCCAAAGCGGGTCAATATAGCCGAAGATGGTTCAAGATAGCTTCCGGCATGGCTCCAAGAGGACCGACGAGGGCCACAAGACGGCTCCAAGTGCTCCCGGAGCCCCCTCACGACCCCCCCAAGAGGCTCAAATCCTTCAAGTACTTGAAACCAATCAGTGATTTTGGCCTTCACGCCTTTTCGCTTCCAAAGCGCTTTTGAGGCCTTACGGTTGTCCCAAGATGGCCCAAGAGAGGCCCAAGGGGGGCCGAAAACGCAGAGCGCCCGAGATCGGCTCAAGAGCGTCCCCAGAAGCGATTGGCTCAAGGAGGGGGCGCAAGTCGGGGACCCCCCCTTTTGATCGACGGCCTCCAAGGTGGCCCCAAGAGGCCCTCCAGAGCTCCCAAGGGATCCCCAAGAAGGCTCCAAGATGGCCCCAAGACTCTCTAAAAGAGATCCAATAGGACCCTAAGATCCCCCCAAAGAGTCCCAAGATGACTGCAAGAGGCGATTTTGACCGCAGTGCCTTCGTCCTCGTTGTCCTCCTCCTTCTCCTCGTACTCGTCCTTGCGCCCTTATCGTCTTTCTTTTCCTTTTCCTTCTCTTCCTTGTCGTCGTGATGATCGTCGTCGTCGTCGTCGTCTTCCCCTTCCTCCTTCTTCCCTCGCCCCCAAGCGGGCCCTAGGGATGGCCAGAAGAGGCCCTCCAAGGCCACCCCCTTGATCCCAGAGGTCTCTCTGTTCACCCTGGTTGCCCGCTTTGTTTCACTATATGGTTCTCTTCGTCCCTTTTCCCGTCAACTCTCATGGGCAGGGTTTCTGAATGGGACGCGAAGCGTGAAGAATTCATGCTGCGGCTTTCTGTCGCAACGAAAGGGAAGGAAACAAACAATGTTGAGGGTATGCCCAACGGAACTCCCAATCAACGAATGCGAACTCATGTCTGAAATTCCAAGGAAGATGCTGCTCTGCGGACATGACATGACATGTTGCGTTCATTCCCACGCTCCGGACAGTGTCTCGCTTGATCTCCACGATTGTGCCCCTTTGAGCGATGAGAAAGTCGCTGGTCAAATCCAAATTAACCTCGATGCAAGAAGCAACCATTGGACGACTGAGACTTCACGTCTGGACTGCACCCTTCCGTCCTTTGCATTCGACCGATGGACCCTGGCAGAATAGCACACACTCTATAACAAACACGTACCAATCAATGGAGAGTCCTGCAGCATCCCCTGATTCCTTCTCACGCCCAAATCACTCTCTGGTACTCTTGTCAAACTTCCCTCGTGGTCGGTCGATCTGGAGCAAAGGGCACAAGGATGATCCGCCACCGTGCCCCCTGGCACGTTGAGGCGTGACATAATGCCAAGCGCTGTTCGGCAGGGTGTCCATAGTCTTTTAAGGGGCCCCCACCTCCTTGGTGAGCGCCTCGCTGCATGCTCCGGCCATGCTCCCGGGGGGGGGTCCCTGGACGGCCATGGCGCCTCCCTGGGGCTCTCCAGGGCTTCCATGACGACCCAGGAGGCCTCCAAGACGGTCTGAGAGGGCCCCGAGTCGCCGAACGATCGCTCGAAGACGCCCAGGATGGCCTCAAAGATGGCGCAAGAAGCTTCCAAGGCGCCCCAAGAGACCTCCAAGAGGTCCCCCAAGATGGCCCCGAAAGGCGCAAATCATGTATTTTCCTTGCGTTTTGGAAGGATTTGGGCGTTCTCGTCTTTTTGGCTTTCCGATGCTCCAAGACGGCCCAAGAGGCCGCCAAGAGGCCCCCAAGACCACCCCCAAAAACGGCTTAAGAGGCCTCCAAGAGGGCCCCAAGACGGCCCAAGAGATGCAAAACGACCCAGAAGGTGCCCAGGACGGTCCCAAAACGGGCCCCAGAAAGGGAGCACGAACCGAAAATCCGAGCCTTCCGCCCGTAGGGGCCCCCAGGAGGCCCCAAGAGGCGCCCAACCGCCAAGATGCCTCCAAGAGGCTCCCAACAAGCCCCGAGAGGCCCCCAAGAGGCCTCCAAGAGGCCCCAAAACTGCTCCAAGAGGCCTCAAAACTGCCTCCTCCAAGAAGCCTCCGAGAAGCCTCCCACGAGATTCCAACGAACATCCACTAGGCTTATAACCCAAAATTCAAGCACGGTGGCGGGACTTGCCGTAGGCAGCTAGCTATGGTACATGAAGTACTGTAGGCGACTGTGAACGAGGCTCTAATTTTGAATTCATCGTGCAAGCATGCGTCAGACATCATGTCTACCAACCCAAAATCGGCTTGCACATATCCTTCGTCTAAGGCGTTTTGGACGCGCGCCCGTCGCTCTGTCACGAGCAACACATCGCAAGATAGGCTGAAAACCTCTTGGCGGGCGCTTGAGGATGTGTCTGCCCGGGGAACTTCCCACGGACTGGTGGTCGGTGAAGCAACATCGTCACAGGCGCGAAGCCGCGAAACCTCGAGCCCATATCGACGGCCATACTCTCTAAAATCTGCCAAGGCCGCAACATGCTCATGCGCCCCTGAATCCGAAATCCATGTCTTTTCTTCGCTTTCGTTCAACATCCTCTCAACGTCAACCCTCGACCCACCCTCCGCTTTCTGGACATTGTTTCGAGCCGGGCCACGGTTCTGCGACGAAGACCCTGGCGGCAGAGCGAATCCGTGCATCAAGCAAAAGGCCAAGCAAGTCTTGGAAACGAGTGAGGACTGACGTCAAGTAAAGACAAGGCAGTGGGAGCCAACACGCAAGTTAGACATGCTTGACTCGTGCGGCGCAAGCGGGCGCACGCCTCGGCAAATGCTTCGTCGGCCATCCAATTGTCTTGGAGGACCCTCCCACTCCCCATTTACAACTGACCATGGCCTCCTCCTCATTCTGCTGAGCATCGACATCGACTGCATAAACATTGGCTCGGGGTAATGAACAGGCAGTGCGATGAGGACATGGCTGGAGGTATGGAATGCTTGGCACCGCTGATGGCAATCAAACTGACGCACTGCGTGAAACATCAACTTCGCAAGTGGCACAATTCCTTACTCCATAAGTGCTCGCATGTCTAGCTCTGCACGTGATCGCACCTTCGACCAATCTGCCCCTGTATTCTTCGCCAGCCCTGTGAAATCGATGCTGCCTGCTTGAAACTTTGAGACAACTTCTGCTCCTATCCGTCCCATCGGGCCGCAAGGTAATCCGGGGGTTGTTGCACGGGACCATCAGGTTCAGGAGGATCCTCCAATTGAAGGTGCCCTTCCCGTCGTCGCAGTTGTGGTGAGTGTCGGTCTGGTCTCGGACAGGGGTGTCGTTGTCTAGGATGTGCTCCTGCCCAGCACGCTTCGGGGAACGCGAACGGAAGGAGGGAGGGAGGGAGGGAGGGAGGGAAGGAGGGACAACTTTTGTCTATGGGGCTGGAGCCGCAAGCCTGTGCCTCGGCGCAGGCACGCGCCCCGAAGTGGCGAGCCGCGCGGAGCTGCAGTGAGTGAGCAGTGGGCCGCGGCTCGACCGAGAGATCCGAAACGAGCCTTTCTAGAAGAAGAACAAACCATCTAAACAGAAACTTTTGGCGCTCCGCGCGGATTTCTTGGATTCGCGCTGGACCCCCCTCCCTGGCGCGCGGAGCGCGCCAGGGGCGGCACCGAGAGGGCGCCGCCTGGGGCCCAGGCGCGGATCCAAGAAATCCGCGCGGAGAGCCAACAGTTTATGTTTATGTGTTTTTCCTTCTTCGACTTTCAGAGAAACTGGTGCCGAACTTCGGCCTGTTGGTCCTTTGCTCCTCAGTAGAGGCCTTCTAGATGGGGTCCGAGCAGATTGGGTCGGAGGATCGGGCCGCATATCGCCGATGTCGATGCATCGCCGATGCATGTCTGACCCCATCTACTCCAGCCCCATGCAGGAGGCCTGAACTCATGCTTTTCCACTTTCTCCAACGCCTCCTCCCTCCCTCGGCGGCAAGCTCAACAACTCAGCTCCTGGGCATGCTCGGGCTCATTCCGAGCTTCGGCTCGACGACTGCCTCACTGCTCTGTTCCACTGCTTGCTCCCACGCTTCCCAGATCAGGACAATCAGCCTGGCGAGCGCGTCTGGATGGGCTGGCAGGGGTCGCGCGAAGCGCTACGAATGCGGCGGGCCCCTGGCGTGCGGGCGGACCCAGCGCGGGGCCGCCTTTCGGCGACTCCGAAGGGTGTGGTTTGCAACTCGCGCCTGGGGGGGTGGAGGGGGCGAGGACCTCGACAAAGACATCTACCGCGCCCCGACGCGTGCTCATCAAACCTTTGGCGCAACGTGGTGACCCCCAAAGCCCCAACGGCGCCGATCGCAAACCACACCCTGGTATAAGCGCACCTGTTGTAGTCGCTGAGCCTTGGCCGTGGATGAAGCTTGGAAAATTAGGAGGAAAAACGATGGAGAAGAAACTAGTAGGCTAGCAATAAAGATATGGCGGGCCCCGGAAACCCTGAACCAAAAAACATTGACATCTCTTGGGTGGACGGTCCTTACTTCCGCCAACGTAGGCGCCCTCAATTGCTTTCGCGGCCTTCCGCCCAGGAAGCGGCGCCGACTTCTCGATCCCTCGCAGGGGAAGCCATTTCGGGGACGCCTCATATGGGGAGGCTCTCGCGGATCCCCACAGCCGCAGCTCTTGTGCGACCACGTCAAATCCCTCGGGCCTTCTGAGGCATCAAGATAGCCTCCAGACGGCCTAAGATGGCCTCGAGACGGCCCGAGAGACCTCCAATGCGGTTCAACAGGGCTCCAAGAGGCCCTCCAGGAGGGCCTCCACGAGTCCCAAATCATTTAATACTTTCTTAAACATTGTTGATCGATTTTTGCGTTCTTGCCTTTTTGGGCGTGTGAGCTCAAGACTGCCTCCAAGATGACCCCAAAGCGGCCCGATAAGCTCCCAAGAAGGCTCTAAGACGGCCCAAGAGACGGCCCGAAGAGGTCCCCAAGGCGGCCTCCGAAGGCGTCAGACCGGCCAAGGACGCCCTAAGACGGCCCAAGAGGGCCCCTAAGAGGCCCTCTCGTTGGCCCCATCGCACGCACAGCACGAACATCACAGGGGAGCTATACCTGTTAGAAAGCGTGAGCCCCAACCAGTGTGTTTCTAGTAACCTGTGTTGTGCAATAGATGTTGTGCAATCTATGATGTCCAGTCGTTGTGTTGCAATACATGTGGTGCAATATATCTGGTGCAATGTATGTGGAGCAATCTAGGTGGTACAATACATGTGGTGCAACCTATGCTGTACAACCAATGTTGTGCAACATATGCTGTGCAACCTATATGGTGCATTACATGTGGTGCAATATACGTTGTGCAGTCGGCGTGGTGCAAACTATCTGGTGCAGTCCAAATCGTACAATCTAAGTGATGCATTATATGTTGTGCAATCTATGCTCTGCGCTCTATGTTGTGCACTATACGTTGTGCAAGGTATGTGGTGCAGCCTGGATGGCACAATCTATGTTTTGCTAGTGGAGCAACGAAAGCAATGCAAGCTCATGTAATGCAATGCGAACTAGCGCGAAACAATGCAAGTCAACGCGAGTCAGTGCAAAGCAAGGTAGAGCAATGCCAAACAATGTCAAGTAATGCAGAGCACTACAATACAATGCGAAGCAATACAGGCCCAGACGACGGGCGGCGACGAGGCGGCGACTGGGCGGCGGCTGCGACGACATAACCGCCAGACCGACCTACAGGCCCAGACGACGGGCGGCGACGAGGTGGCGACGGCGGCTACACAGCTGCCAGACTGATGCCCACGCCTAGTTCCTTATTCCAGAAACCGCAAGAACAAACACGGTTTGGGAACTATATATTCCCCAATCCGAGCTTGTCTCTGTGGGGGCCCTAGCGGATCCATATGGTTAGGTTAGGTTTGACGCCGATTTTGGCCGCACGCCCGGGTGCCCGGGTGCCCAGGTGCCCGGGCGTGCCCAGGGGTGCCGGGGTGCCCAGGGGTGCCCTATAGCCCTATAGCCCCCCTATAGTCCTACAGCTCTATAGCTCTATAGCCCTATAGCCCTATAGCTCAATAGCCCTATAGCCATATAGCCCTATAGCTCTATAGCCCTATACCCCTATACCCTATCGCCCTGTAGCTCTATTACCCAACCGCCCAATAGCCCAATAGCCCTATATCAAGCAACGCTCCAGCCCGTTTGGCGTAGGAGGTTGAGGGCGTTTGCTCTTCCACCCTCCTGCTGCCCCTTCGGGGAAGGGCTTATTATCGGGGCCGCGCAAACATGGATTAGGGATCCATGGATTTGGCGCGCTGCGGGAGGTGCCCTCCCCAAGATGCCGCCTCGCTCGGCGGCGGAGATCCGTGATTTCCTATGGAAACGGGACCCGTCGCCAATCTACGCCCCCTTGATCCATGTTTGCGATCGCCTGACTCATCAGGTTTACCCCTCCCCGCTCACCGCGCCCAATCCCTGGTTGCAAAAAGTCTTGGTCGGCACTTTACGGAACACCGCCTCCTGGACCTTCGCCCCTCGGTCGGCCCTCAGCCTCGACATTCGACCGCTGTTCGGTCCTGGATCATCCGTCGATGCTCGATGCTCGATCTTCGAACGGGCCTCATACGAAATTGGCAGTTTCGGGCGGCATGCACAGGGATCAGAAACTTGGCATGTAGGAGATCCCCGACAAACTCGTCACTGTCTGGCGGCATGGCATGGGACTGGATATCTTCTTGCGAAACCCCCAATCGAAACCACCATTTCCCAATGTCCTGAGAAATCATCTGGTCGCCGTGGGGGGCGACCGGAAAATTTTAGTTCGAAGGCGCTCAGCGGAATACGACTTTCCAGTGCGTCGCCCATGTGGCCATGTTGGTATGGAAAACAGGATCGATAGATGCACGAGGTTGTCGCAAGCTGGTCACTGCAACATTGTACTGGAGCCTGGCGGCCTGACTGGACACACGCAACTCTTCTCGCGCTACCTCCGAGGTCCAGACTTTTTAATCCACGGGGTTGTAAGCCTGGACAGGGGCGGAGCCGAGGTATCAGAGGGCCCTTTTTGGCCCAAGGTGGCTCCAAGACGGACTTAGATAGTTCTAGATGCCTTCCGATATGGCACAATATAGCCCAACATGGGTCAATCTCGCTTTCTAGACCTCCTCAAGACGGATCAGAGTGGGCACGGAATCTTCCAACGATACCCCCAGAGCCCCCGATCCCCCCTAAACAGGAAATCACTGATTTGTTGCCTTCTCGCCTTTTCGCTTCTGATGTGCTTTTCGGGCCTCCATTGGTTCTAGCATCGCCCACGGTAGCTCCAAGAGGGGTCCAGGAGGGCTTCAAGACGGCCCCAAGGCCAAGATGACTCCAATCTTGCCCATGATACCTTGATGATGCTTCCAATATGGCGCAATCTTGTCCAATATCTTACTACAGATGCCCCAAGATGCAGTGCAGCAAACAGGGCGATGCAACAAACAAGTTGTGTTTCTGATCACGGTGTTTGGCGCTTCAGGCACCGTACGCTCCATGAACCTCCCCAAACCTCTCCCGACTCAAGCGCGGAATTCTAAGATCAAGCTGAAGCAGCCACACGCAAAACCAAGCGCATATTTTACCTTGTATCTTAATGTTTGAGCTTCAACTTAAGACTCTATCAATTTGGTTGATTGACGTCCCACCGTGTGCTGCATGGGGCAGAGGTTTATGATCAATTACGCGTCGAACGACATAGCAAACACTTGCACACACTCTTTCTGCAATTACTGCGGTAACCGAGAACATAGCATATCTGAACATGCGGATCTCAATTCCATGCTGTCACCTCTGCGCTTCGGTCCGCCTTATGGGACACTTGCAACCGAAATACCATCGACTTTGCTGTTACCAGCGCCAAGAGGTGTGGAGGTGGTGGTCCATGGAAGCTCGAAGGGCATCCACCCCAAGCTCACACAAATTCTAGGACTGGCCGCGGCGGTCGCAATGCGCAACGACCCCGCTGGCACCGCAGCCTGCCGGTCGTGGCTGGCAGAAGCGCTGCCAGAGGTGCCCAGGACGCAGAGCCACGTAGAACACCTATGGTCGAAAGCAAGACTTCCGACCTATCGGAGAGTTGGGAATCCACTCCGAGACAAGTTTGGATGTGGCCGCCCGCCTGTCCGCAGGACTCCCGAACCCAGAAGCAAGCACCTGGACAGCAGAATTCCCAACCAGCTTCCCCAATACGTTGGAACATTTGGTCCTCCAGCTGCGCTTCCCGCGCATCGACTGACTGTGTCGACAGTGACCGCCAGTGTCTGTCCGAGCTACGCCACGACGACGAAGACAGTGCCGATGTAGAGCCGAACGACAACGCTTACCAGGAACCTTGGAGCTGGAACTTCCCTTCCAACGTCAACTGGGACTTCTGCCCCTGACTTCTCGCATCGGTTCTCGAGGCTTCCAGGTGCTCCGGAAGCAGCACTGGAGATCCGGAAGCATGAGCTTCCCCCCCTCCCAGAGGGACCATCCAAAGGGCAGGGTGCTCGGAGGCGGCTGGGGGGTCTGAACTGGTGGAGACCTCCTTGCCGTCGCTCGGACGTCCATTTCCCGTGCATTTTTTTCGGTTTCGTGCGTGTTTCTTTTGTTCGATGGTCCAGGATGGTCCTCGATGGTCCTCGCCGAGAAAAAAATGCACACGTCCGAGCGATGCCAGGCCTCAGAAAATCAGTCAGGAGGGGGGGATGAAGCCAAATCCATTCAAAATCGGTCCCTGGATCCCTCCCGGGGTCCGTCTGGTGCAGTTTTTCACCCCGGATCCGTTCTTCACGGCCCCAGGGCCCGAAAACGATCCCGGGAGGCCGGAAAAGGCACAACACATTCCCGAGCCCAGAATCTTGAACCTGCCCGTCCTTCTTGCTGGCCAGAACCAGTGCTGGGCCACCTCAGACCCCCAGACAGCTCCAACAAGGTGCCACCCAGGCAACGCTCCAGAAGTTTTGCTTCCAGCGTCCGAGCTCACGGCACGCCGTCGGAGCCGCGGGCCCCGGCAGCTCAGCAGAGTCCGTCGCGGGTCGAGCTCGTCGAGGGCGCCGTCCGCTGCGCTCTCGACCTCGGGGCTCACCGAGAGACATCGTCTGCGTGCTCTGCCTCCACCACTTGGACCACCGCGGAGGTTGCTGAAGGGGATAGAAGGGAGGTATGAGTGGATGCTTAGAGTGTGGACTGTATCGGGCCTGACCTGGCTGATGCATGGGTTACGGACGCCCCAGGTGCCGTAAAGGGGGTTCGGCAGCTCTGCCGAGTGGGCTCCGCGCACTGAGCCCCGACCTCCGCCCCCCGTGCGCAACGCAGGGCACACTTGCAGCCCACATGTATAAGCTGGATTCGGCCGGGTGTGATCCACCTGGACATCCACCTGGAGCCCCCTTATCCTCTTCGCAAATCCGGCGATGATCCAGGCACCATATCTCGAATCGGCGTCCCCCTGCGGAGCTCGGCAGACTCCGTCACGCCCACTCTGCGCACTGCGCCTCCAGCATGTCCGCCAGCCTGCGGAGTGAGGTCACGTCGTCGTCGCCGCCGCCGCCGTGGTGGTGGTGGTGATCGTCGTGGTCGTGGTCGTGGTCTTGGTCGTGGTCGTGATCGAGGTCGTGGTCGTGGTCGTGATCGTGGTCGTCGTCGTCGTCGTCGCCGTCTCAGTCGCGTCGCCGTCGCCGTCGCCGTCGCCGCCGCCGCCGCCACCGTCACCGTCGTCGTCGTCGTCGTCGTCGTCGTCGTCGTCGTCGTCGTCGTCGTCGTCGTCGTCGTCGTCGTCGTTCGTCGTTCGTCGTTCGTCGTCGTCGTCGTCGCCGTCGTCGTCGTCGTCGTCGTCGTCGTCGTCGTCGTCGTCGGTCGTCGTCGTCGTCGTCGTCGTCGTCCTCGTCGTCGTCGTCGTCGTCGTCGTCGTCTTCGTCGTCGTCGTCTTGGTCCTGCTACTCTTCATCTCCTCCTCCTTCTCCTCCTCCTCCTTCTTCTCCTCCTCCTCTTCCTGCTGCTGCTCAGGAGGCAGAAGGTGAAGAGGGCAAGCTACGTGCGCTCGCGCCACATCTGACATCCGATCCCTCCCTCCCATCCTTTCCCATTGCGCTGATGATTTTGTCTCTATCTGCGGATGCGTGTCATAGCCGATCTGGAACCCCCGTCTTGTTACGCACGATCGTAAGAGGGGAGTGGCGTACATAAGGGGGATAAAGGGAGATGAGGTTGCGGGTGAGCAGGAGGAACAGTATGAGGATATGGAAGAATGAAGGCGAGGACGAACAGCAGCAGCAGCAGCAGCAGGACCTGGAGTGAAATGATCAGGAGGACCAGGGGAAGGCGGAGGGGAAATGAGAGAAACGGCGACGATGAGAAGGGCTCGGATCCAGAAAAATGGCCCATGCTCGGGCGAGATCGCCATTCTGAATGACGGGGGCGAAACGCTGCTCAGAAAATGAGGCCCATGCTGCAACGGGAACACATGTCTGTAACATCGGAAACAATGTGGCTGACAAAGCCATAATCTACCACCTTTGCTCAATTGTGTGTGAAGAACGATACGTAGAGATAATCGGCTATCTTCCAGACGGAGCCAGGGGAGAGAGAGAAGTCGTACTCATAATGTACAATTCTGGAGGGGGAGAAGATGGAGGAAGCGGAGGAAGAGGAGGAGGAGGAGGAGGGGGAGGAGGGGGAGGAGGAAAGGGAGAGGCGGGAGGAGGGGGAGCAAGCTGGGAAGGCAGGAGGGGAGGGGGATGAGCAGGATGAGGGTCTCCTCGTCGTGCTCCTGCCTGCTGTCTCCTTCTCCTCTTTCCCTCCTCCCTCCTTCCCATTCCTCTCTTCTTCATGCTCTCTTCTCGCGCACCCTCCTTCTTCTCCTATTCCTTCTCCTTCTCCTTCTTTTCCGCCTCCTCATTCTCCCGCATTTTCCTCTCTTCCCAAAACCCTGCCGCCTCCTCTCTCCCTCCTGTCCACTTCTCTCTCTTCTTCTACTCTCCCTGTTCAGCTTCCCTCATCCCCCATCCTTCCCCCACTCCCTCCCCCCTGTCCCTCAGGAGTAGGGGCGAGGACAAATAGGAACGACGAGGAGGACGACGAAGACGACGACGACGACCGAAGAACGACCAAGACGACGAAGACCGACGACGACGCACGACGACGACGGACAACGGACGACCCACGACGACGACGGGCAACGGAGGATACACGACGACGATGATGACGACGGGAGACGGATGACGACGACGACGACGACGACGACGACGACCACGTGCGACGAGGACCACGGGCGACGGACGCGACGGGCGAGGGCGGGCCACGCGTCGCCCGGGCGGCCCAGCAGCCAGAACTCGGTGGCCACGGCCCGCTGCTGCACGCGCCATGGCACTGGCGCAGCGCAGAGGCCCCTCCGGCAAGCCTTCCCGGACGTGAGCGGACTTGCCCAATTCATTTCTTGGGGTCCCAAGACGGTGCTGTGAGGAGGAGACACGGCCGACCAGTCGTGCAACTGACTGACAGGAGCACCAGTGCTGTGAGGAGGAGGAGGAGGAGGAGGAGGAGGAGGAGGAGGAGGAGGAGGAGGAGGAGGAGGAGGGGGAGGATGAGGAGGAGGAGTAGGAGGAGAAGGAGGTGGAGGAGGTGGAGGATGAGGCGCGAGACTTGTGGGTCCCAAGACGGTGTGGTGACATACCGTGCGGTGACCTCGGAATTCCCGGCGACGTCACAGCATGGGCCGTCACCTCACTGTTCTGGGACTTCGGAGGCCCAATTGCCCGAGACACCCTCGTGTGGTCACAGCACCGTTTGGGAGCCCCTGATGATTTGCTCAATGCGCAAGTCGCCGACCCTCAGATCTTCGCGTCGCCAAGAAAAGTCGCGACTGCTTTCCTCCCCATCATTCGGTCTCCAGGGGCCGTCCCCTGGCCCCGGCGTCTGCAAGAACATCGGCTCGAAGCCTTTAGAGATCTGGGTTTTCCCCGACCTCCCATGTCTTGATTTTTCTGATGCGCAAGCCCCAGACCTCTCGACCATCTCCAGGGGCTGGTCTCCCGTCCCGGATCATCTCTTGACGGCCCCAGGACCCGGGCACAGCCCCTGAGGGCCGACAGTGGGGAGACACATCCGCCCTGTTCTTTCCGATGCGTGGGGGGCTGGGGAGCTTTCTGATCCTTGCTATGAGGAATAACAACATGCATGAACACACCACATTCGGAGGTCCGCGCGGGTTTCTTGGGTCGGTACTAGGCCCCCGTCCTTGGAGCGCGGAGCGCGCCAGGGGTGGCGCCGGAGGTGCCGCCAGGGGGAGCCAGTGTCGATCCAATAAATCCGCGCGGAGCTGCGAACGTTTGTGTGTGTGTGTGTGTGTGTTTGTGTGTTCAACGTTTGTTGTTTTGTTTTCTCTTTCTTTTTTTTCTTCGAGGAGGGGGGAGGGAGCGAGGGAGGAGGACGGGTGAGGATGGAGAGGGCGAGGGTGGGGAAAGGGAGGAGCGCCCGTAGCTCCACAAACGCCGGGAACCACGGCTGTCGCGGGGCGCCGAAGAGATCAGTAGCACTTGATGTCGAAGGTACTGTGTAGGGGAGACCTCTTCTGCGCCACCTGGACGGAGCGCTGGGGCCTCTGTCAGAGCGTCGGCCTGGACGAGAAGGGGGGGCCTGAGTCCTCTCCGGGATGGAAAGGGGGAGGAGGAGGAGGAGCGCCAATACCTGGGTGCAACGTCATTCAGCTATGTGCGGGGGCTGGGCCTGAGCCATTTGTATGGCCGTGGCTCCTGAGGCGCCGGGGGCATGGTAGTGTAATTATCTGTCATTTTGGAGAGGGCCGCCCTCAGAGCGACTAACGACTTCTCGAGGTCGAGAGGCCGCCCGTGCTGACGAGCAACCATTTACTTGGAAATGTGGTGACTGTATAACGAGAGCGCCGTCGAGAGAATCGTATTCTCCCTCGTCAGATCGAGAGCGGGGGGAGGAGGAGGAGGAGGAGGAGGAGGAGGAGGAGGAGGAAGAGGAGGAGGAGGACCAGCGTAAACTCAAGACTCATCAACGATGTTTGGATACACCCTGCCCCAAGCTCCCTTTGCACAGGCCCCTACATGGATCCATTCCCACTGAAGAAAATACTCCGTTGGGGAACTACCGATGGAAGATCGTGAAGCGTGCCAAAACACCATTCTCGGAACTTCAACGCCGCTACTTCATCTGACTGTTGCGTCTTGACGATCCTGAATCGTGCCAGAATACCATTCCTGGGACTTCAGCACTGCGAATCAACGAAGCTGTTGGCCCTGACATTTGTGAACCTCTCTAAAACACCATTTCTGGTACGTGAACCATGGATACCCGTCAACTTCTTGCAATGTTTTGAAAACGAATGCGCGCGGCGCTAATGCCTGAATGAAATTTTGAAATCCACCCGCCCTCAATCCGTGAAACTCTTGCGAACTTGTACAACGAATGTGCGCGGCGCTGAGGCGATAACCACCTTTTGAAAACCACCCGCCCTCAATCCTTCACGCTCTTGCATTTTCTAAACGAATGTGCGCGGCACTAAAGCGATAACATCAGTTTGAAAAATACCCGCCCTCAGTCTGTGAAGCTCTCGCAAATTCTGAAAACGCCTGGGCGCGGCGCTTAGGCGAAAACCGCATTTTTGAAAACCACCCGCCCTCCATCTGTGAAACTGTTGACATTTTTTTCTGCTTCTGGGTTATAGATGGTGGGTAAATCTCAAGCGAAACGCCCAGCCGGCCTTTTCGACTGGCCTCGGGGTGCGACAAGGAGGGGTTACTTAGAGAATGAAGAATATGGAGGAGGACCAGGGTGGAAACCCAAGACTCATCAATGATGATGGAATGAACCCTTCTCCGAAGCTCCCTTTCCATCAATTCCTGCGCGGATTCATAACCACTGAAGAGAATACCGCATTTCTACTGGACTGTTGCGTCCTGGCGATCCTGAGTCGTGCCAGTTCGCCATTCCGGAAACTTCGTCACCGCAACGCAACTGTTGCGCCCTGACATGTGTGAATCGCACCAGAGAACTTTTTTTCAGGTACGTGAACCATGGGCGCCCGTGGAACTCAATGTTTTGCAAACGAATGTGCGCGGCAAGCAGGCGAGAACTATATTTTGAAATCCACCCGCCCTCAATCCGTGAAGCTCTTCCAATTATTGAGAACGTATGTGCGCGGCGCTGAGGCGAGAACCACCTTTTGAAAACCACCCGTCCTCAATCCGTGAAAATCTTGCATTTTTCAAGCGAGTGTGCGCGGCGCTAAAGCGAGTACCACTTTTTGAAAACGACCGTGAAACTCTTGCATATTTCCAAAATGTGTGCGGCGCTGAGGCGAACCATATTTTGAAAACTATCCGCCCCCCATCTGTGAAACAGCTGATATATTTTTCTGCTTTAGGACTGTAGTTGGTGGGGATGTCTCAAGCGAAACGCCCGGCCCGCTTTTTCGACCGGCCTCGTGGTGCGACAGGGAAGAATGAGATTTAAGGAAAGAGTCTAGAGGAGGAGGAGGAGGACCAGTGTAAACCCGAGACTCATCAACGATGTTAGGATAAACCTTGCCCCAAGCTCCTTCTGCACAGGCCCCTACAAGGATCCATTCCCACTGAGGAAAGTACTCTGTTGGGGGACAACTGTTGGAAGACCGTGAAGCGTGCCAAAACACCATTCTCGGAACTCCATTGCCGCTACTTCATCTGACTGTTGCGTCCTGACGTTATGAACCGTGCCAGAACACCATTCCTGGGACTTCAGCACTGCGAATCAGCGAAACTGTTGCGCCCTGACATTTGTGAACCTCTCCAAAACACCGTTTCTGATACGAAAACCATGGATACCCGTCAACTTCTTGCAATGTTTTGAAAACGAATGCGCGCGGCGCTAATGCAATAACCACATTTTGAAATCCACCCGCCCTCAATCCGTGAAGCTCTTGCGAACTTGTGCAATGAATGTGCGCGGCGCTGAAGCGAGAACCACCTTTTGAAAACCACCCGCCCTCAATCCTTCACGCTTTCGCAATGTTGAAACTAATGTGCGCGGCGCTAAAACGAAAACAACATTTTGAAAAAGACCCGCCCTCACTCTGTGAAGCTCCCGCAAATTCTGAAAACGAATGTGCGCGGCGCTTATGCGAAAATCGCATTTTGGAAAACCGCCCGCCCTCCATCTGTGAAGCTGTTGCCAATTCTTCTGCTCCTGGGTTATAGATGGTGGGGAAGTCTCAAGCGAAACGCCCAGCCCGCTTTTTCGACTGGCATCGGGGTTATTAAACATGAAAAATATGGAGGAGGAGGAGGAGGACCAGTGTAAACCCAAGACTCATTAATGATGATGGAGTCAACCCTCCTCCGAAGCTTCCTTTTCAGAAATTCCTGCGCGGATCCATTTCCACGGCGGAAAATACCGCATTTCTACCTGACTGTTGCGTCTTGGCGATCCTGATTTGTGCGTGCCACTTCACCATTCCGGGAACTCCAACACCGCAACGCAACTGCTGCGCCCTGACATGTGTGAACCGCTCGAGAAGATTTGTTCTGGTACGTGAACCTTGGGAACCCGTGAAGCTTTTGCAATGTTTTGAAAACGGATGTGCGTGGCAATAAAGCGAGAACTATATTTTGAAATCCACCCGCCCTCAATCCGTGAAGCTCTTGCATTTATTGCAAACGTATGTGCGCGGCGCTGAGGCGAGAACCGTATTCTGAAAAGCATTGTCCTCAATCTGTGAAAGTCTTGCATTTTCCAAACGAATGTGCGCGGCGCTAAACGAAAACCACATTTTGAAAACGACCATGAAGCTCTTGCAGATTTCTAGAACGAATATGCGCGGCGCTTAGGCGAACCATATTCTGAAAACTACCCGCCCCCCATCTGTGAAGCTGCTGATATTTTTTTCTGCTTTAGGGCTATAAATGGCGGGGACGTCTCAAGCGAAACGCCTGGCCCGCTTTTTCGACCGGCCTCGTGGTGCGACAGGGAAGAATTATTTGTAAGGAAAGAGTCTGGAAGAGGAGGAGGAGGACCAGTGTAAACCCAAGACTCGTGAACGATGTTGGAATACACCCTCCCTCCAATCTCCCTTTTCACAGTCCCTTACTAAAGGTTCATATCCACTCAAGGAATCCCACCCGCCCTCTGGGCGTTAGTGGTCTAGAGCGTTTCCTCTTCCGCCTCCCTTCTTCCCTTGCGGGGAGGGGTCACCCCTCCCCCTACCCCCTCCCCTGGACCTGGACGGGGCGCCCCGCGAGCGATCATGGCGTCCAAAACGGCCTCGGCGAGGAAGCCACAATCATTTGTTTTACCCAGGTTTTGGCCTCATTTTGGCCTCTTGGGGTGGGGGCGCTAATTAAGGGAGCCCCCTTCTTTGATCGATGTCCTCCAAGATGGCCCCAAGAAGCGCCCATGAGGCCCCAAGAGGCCCCAAGATGGCCCCAAGATGGCCTCAAGAGGCCCCCAAGAGGCCCCCGAGAGGACCCCAAGCGGCCCCAAGAGGCCCCCCCAAGGCACCCAAGACGCACAAGAGTTCCCCAGGATCGCCAAGAAACCCCCAAGACGACCCAAGATGCTTCCGAGAAGCGCCCAAGAGATATCCCAAGAGGCTCCGGAGAGGCATCCATGAGACCTCTGGCCCTTTTGCTTGCCCTCCTCCTCCTGCTCCTTCCTCCTCCTACTCCTTCTCTTCCTCCTCCTCCCCATCATCACCATCATATTCATATTCCTTCTTCCCACTCCCTCATCCATCCATCCAGCCTCCTCCTTCTCCTCCTCCCTCCTTTGCACGGTTCGGCCGTCCCCGTCTTTGCTCCCACACTTCCCTGATCACCTCAACTCGCCTGGACATTGTTTCTGGATGGGCTGGTGGGGATATTTTTTTTCGGTCGCGGCCGCGAGCGAAGCGCGCAAGCGGCGAGAGAAATTGTCTGGGCCGACGGGCAAACCTAATTAGCTACAATACGCGCCGCAGGCCGGCCGGCCCACTCACCAAGCAGCAGCGGGGCTGCGCGGGAGGCAGACAGCTGGGGGCATCCAGGGAAACTCGGGCACGTGCAGACAAAATACCGTGAAATTCGGTGCATGCCGTGAGGCATAACCCACACCGACGACGGGGGGACGAGCACGGAGAAGTGGTGTCCATCATGCTGGGTGGGCGTTCAGGCGAGAAGAACGCTGGGCGAGTCGCCAGTGGGGCGCCAGGCACAGGGCCGTCCCAGCGGCGTGTGCGGGCTAGGGGATCTGAGCTGCCGAGGGACGTCGAAAACCTGCCTGATGAGGGGGATGAGTCCAGGGTGCTGTTGCGACGGCAGAAGGCTAAACCACTCCGGCGCGACCACAGTACCAAAGGGGCCATCGTCCCGTGCCCGAGGGAGGCCCGGACGTCAGTGGGCCGGCCCCTCCAACAACGGCACAGAGCCGACGCCAGATGGACTGTAGGAGAAAGCCAGGCCGGCGTGGTGGACATCGCAAGCGAGGCAGGGGGATCCAGGGAGGGCGCTGCGTGAGGCCAAGCTGGTGGGAGAGAAAAACGCCAGCAAGGTGGGGCGTCCAGGGTGGAACTGCACGGCAGCTGCCGCCTGATGTGCGCCGAAGGCCACCGTGGGACTGCCTTATCCGCCGAATCCGTTATTCCCCGCAGGGAACCAAGGTCTCCGTCGAATCCGTCATTCCACGCGAGCGTCCAGGGTCGCAGCTAACCGCCGCTGAAGGTGAGGTCAAGTTACCGCTGTCAGCGGGGGTTCTGGGCAGCGTGGGGACGATCGACTCCGAGACCAGGATTCTAGCCTGGCGGCAGCCCAGCCTGGGGGAGACCCGAGGGGAGGGGCGGTGGGGACAGACATCACCGACCCTCCACGCGGAGGGGCTCCCAAGAAATGGACGTGGCCAGAGCCCGGCACGGGAGGGAGCCGAGGAGAGAGGCGGTGGGGACAGACATCACCGCACACCGTACGGATCCCAGGTGCACCTGGCCGGGGGACACGGCCGCCGTTCCCCGAGGGGCATCCAGGGTCGCAGCTAACCGCCGCTGAGAGGAAGGTAATACCGAACGGTCGATCTTTTCGTCCACTACTGGTGTGGACCAGGGTGGGCAGTCTGCAGCCAGTAGATTGGCTCGCTGAGGGCAGTGCTGCCACCTCGAAGGCCGACGCACCCATGGGGGGTGTGTGGTGGGACATCCAGGGTCGCAGCTAACCGCTGCTGAAGTGTCGCGAGGAGGTCTCGTGCCCGTAGTCTCAGCTGCTCTCCGCGTGGATCCAGGGCCGCGGCAAACCGCCGCTCTGGGTTGAGTGAAGGGGGGCACCCACGGAGGGTGGCGGCAGACGGCCCTTGTCAGACAGCACCGGGATGCAAGAGCACCCTGAGCACCTGTGAGAGGTCTCGGGCCCGTAGTCTCTGCTACTCCCCGCATGGATCCAGGGTCGCGGCTAACCGCCGCTCTGGGTAGAGTGAGGACGGAGCGACCACGGAGGGTGGCGGCAGACGGCCCTTGGCAGACAGCACCGGGATGCACGAGTACCTTGAGCTCCCGCGGGATGTCTCGTGCCCGAAGTCTTTGCAACTCCCCGCGTGGATCCAAGGACGCGGCAAACCGCCGCTCTGGAGGACAACTGTGTGAAAATCCGGAAGCGTGCCAAAATAACATTCTGAAGATTTCAACGCCACGAATTAATATGACTGCTACGTCGTGGCGATCCTGAACCGCGCCAGAACACCATTCCAGGAACTTCAACACCGCGAATCGACGCAACTGTTGCGTCCTGACATGTGTGACCCGCTTCGAAGCACCATTTCTGGTAGAACTATTGAAGCTCTTGGACTTTCTAAAAAATTAATGTGCGCGGCAATGAAGCGATAACCACATTTTGAAAAATAACTGCTCTCAATCCGTGAAACTCTTGCAAATTTCTAAAGCGCATGTGCGCGGCGCTAAAACGGTAACCGCATTTTGAAAAGGAGTCGCCCTCAATCCGTGAAGCTCTTGCAACTGTTTAAAACGAACGCGGCGCGAAGGCGAGAACCGCATTTTGAAAACGACCCACCCTCAATTCGTGACACTCTCGCAGATTTCTAAAACGAATGTGCGCGGCGCTGAGACGAGGACCACATTTTGAAAACGACCATGTTTTAATCCGTGATACTTTTACCTTCTCTGGCAACGACTGTGAGCGGCGCTGAGGCGAGAATCACATGTTGAAAACCACCCGCCGTCCATCTGTGAAGCTGTTGGCAATCTTAAGCTTCAGGGTCATAAATGGTGAGGGAGGGAGTCTGCAGCGGAACGCCCGGCCTGCCCATTCGACCGGCCTCGGGGTGCGACAGGGACCAAGGAATGGAGGCGGAGGAGGAGGAGGAGGAGGAGGAGGCGGAGGAGGAGGAGGAGGCGGAGGAGGAGGAGGAGGAGGCGGAGGAGGAGGGGGGGGGGGAGAGGAGGAGGATGGGGGGGGGAGGAGGAGGAGGAGGAGGAGGAGAGGAGGAGGAGGGAGGAGGAGGAGGGGGGAGGAGGAGGAGGAGGAGGAGAGGAGGAGGCGGAGGCGGAGGCGGAGGAGGAGGAGGAGGCGGAGGCGGAGGAGGAGGAGGAGGAGGAGGAGGAGGAGGAGGAGGAGGAGGAGGCGGAGGCGGAGGCGGAGGAGGAGGAGGCGGAGGCGGAGGAGGAGGAGGAGGAGGAGCAAGTCCACAAGCTTTTGCTGATGCTGCTTTTCCTCCCTCGGCCCGCGGCCTCTGCCGCCACCAGGAGCCGCAGGCGCTCCCACTGGTCGACCCCGGGGCCTCTCGGGGGGAGGCGAGGCCGCCGGCTCCCCGCCCCCCTTGCGGCCCCCGCCGCCGCACGCTCGGCCTCGCGTGCCCTGGGCAACGAGCGCAATCAGACCTGACAGCAAAGATACGCGATCAGGATGCAAGCCCTTGGGACGCCCATGTCCAGGCACAACGAGCACAACGAGCACAACGAGCCCTGATAGCGAAGATACGCGATCAGGATGCAAGCCCTTTGGACGCCCATGTCGAGGCTCCTCGAGCAGGGCTGGCCGTCGAAAGTGCGTAAGCATGGAGCGAAGAGGCAAGGATGCCAGGGTACCCTTGGGAAGGTGACTTAACCTGATCATCGGTTTCGACTGTACTCGACGCTGAAGGTTTTTCAACCATATCGGTTAGCTGTTTCTTCTTAGATCCATTGGGGGTAATTCCATGGTGACTCTGGGACTGCCCAATAATCTCGGACTGTTTTAATACAGCACGACGCTGTGCCCGAGCGAGGAAGTACACAGCCTGAACGCTCGGGAGGAGGCCATGCAGATCAGCATCGGTTACGGGGACAAGCGTCATAGCGAGGGAGCCGAACGGTCTCATACCATCCCTGGGTACATTGGTGAAACGGGTTTCCGTGGCCAAGATGTTGCTTGTTTGTTGCTTGTTGTTGTCGCTGTCCCCCCTCGCGCCCGCCCCCTCACTCTTATCCGCAATCGCGGGGTGCTACATGCATACGTAGCAAAACACAACTACAACACAAACGAATCCAACATCACGGGTGAATCTCACATCAACACAAACACATGTCTAATCATTAGCACGGGTACATGTCAATCTAATGTAACGTGCGATTGATCGACCATGATCCGGAAGGTAAAGTGAGGCAGAGAAAAACTACAAGCTGAAGACGAGTAAACAATGATTACATCACGGAAGTATGGAGGCGAGACGACGCAAGCGGTGCCAAGGCCAGGCCCGCTAAGATGAGGTATTAAACGAAGGTAGCGGCAAACGCGTGGTAAGGGCGGGCAAGGTAGCCCTAAGAACGGCGGGCAAGGTCGAGTCAGGTTTTGTGAGGATGGTGCAGTCTTTCGCCTTGCTTGGGGCGCTGAATCCTTCAACCACTGAGTATGCTCCAGCGCCTTGACAAGACAAACCCCAAACATACCCAGTTGGGCTGAGCTGTCCACTTTAGCGTCCGCACCTGCCAAACGAATCCCGCTCAGAGAAGTCCGTTCGACCTCCTCCTCCTCCTCCTCCTCCTCCTCCTCCCCCCTCCCTCCTCCTCCTCCTCCTCCTCCCCTCACCCCCCTCCTTTTCCTCCTCCTCCCCCTCCTCCTCCTCCTCCTCCTCCCTCTCCTCCTCCTCCTCCTCCTCCCCCCCCTCCTGTCCTCCTCCTCCTCCTGCTCCTCCTGTCCTCCTCCTCCTCCTGCCTCCCTCCTCCTCCTCCTCTCTCCTCCTCCCTCCTCCTCCTCCTCCTCCTCCTCCTCTCCTCCTCCTCCTGTTCCTCCTCCTCCTCCCTCCTCCTCTCCTCCTCCTCCTCCTCCTCCTCCTCCTCCTCCTCCCTCCTTCCTCCTCCTCCTCCTCCTCCTCCTCCTCCTCCTCTTCCTCCAGTGAGGTGGCTCCAGGCTGAGGCCCCGTGCGCGCTGCCGGGGTGCGGGCGCGGGCCGCTCGGCGCTCTCTCGGCTTCTCCGGGCGTGTGCGGCACGGGGGCCGCGGCCCGCGGCCGCGCCCCGAGAGCCCCTCCCTCGGCTGCGCACCGGCGCCCTCTCGGCTCCTCCAGGCGTGCACGGCACGGGGGCCGCGGCCCGCGGCCGCACCCCGAGAGCCCCTCCCTCGGCTGCGCACCGGCGCTCTCGGCTCCTCCAGGCGTATACGGCACAGGGGCCGCGGCCCGCGGCCGCGCCCCGAGATGCCCTCCCTCGGCTGCGCACCTCGAGCAGCGCGCGGTGCCGAATCAGGAGTGGGGCGAGGGGGGTCAGGGCAGAAGGAGAGATCAGCACTTTGAGCACGTGTGTTTCCAGCAGGGCGCCGCCTCTGTCCAGGCGGGAGGTCGGGGCGGATACTGGTGAGCACCTCCTGCTGCGCGCCTGCCCGCGCCAAACCTGAAAACGCTTGTACAACACCAGCTTCGGCGCCGGCGGCGGGTGCGCTTCGAGGGCGGAGCCGGAGCGACGGCTGGCGATGGTCGGCCGTGAGGGCCGTGAGCCCTCCGGCGGCCCAGGCGGCCAGAAGTGCAGGCCGTGCCAGCGATCGCACGTCTTGGGAGCGTCGGGGCGGAGGCGCACCTTCAGGCCGCTCCTCGAGCTGCGGGCTCGGGAGGCTTCCAGGGGGCATTGCGGCCTCGGCCGTGCTCCCACAGTGCCCAGGGACAGGGAACACATGGTCCAACCGCTCGGGGAGTTCCCAGCGCGGGGCTGGGGCAGGCACGCCCTACTGAAGGGGCAACGGGCAACGGAAGGGGGGGACTGGCTTAAGGGGGAGGCATCAAGCTGGAAGCAGCGACACATCGCCGATAGATCGGCGATGGGCCCCCGATAGGAAAACCGCACGTTTATGGGCGGGATGGGTTATCGGGCCCCCATCTATCCACGATGAATGGGCGATTGGTGGTCGATGCGTCCCCCCTGAACCTATCCCCCCTTGCCTTTGACTGGTCTCGAATTTCGGGGCAAAGCTCGGGCAGCTCGGATTTCCGGCGCCCGTTCGGGACGAGCTGGGCCCCCCCCGAAAGTCACTGGCGAGGCGCAGCAGCTGGAAGGCATCCCGAAGCTGGAAGACCGCCGAGCACCGACAACAACGTGCGGAAACTTACCCCCTGCCCCTGCGCGCCGTGGCTCCTGACTCCCCTGCCCGTGGCCCCGTTGCCCCTGACCCCCGTTGCCCCTGACCTACCCCCCCCCCCCCAAACGTTTGCCCCTTCCTCCTCCTCCTCCTCCTCCCCCTCCTCCTCCTCCTCCTCCTCCTCTCTCCTCCTCCTCCCTCCTCCTCCCCTCCTCCTCCTCCTCCTCCTCCTCCTCCCTCCTGACTCCCCCTTGCATTTTTTTTGGTTCTTTCTCTTCCCCCCCCCGTGAGGCCATGAGCGAACAGCTTCTGGCATGCCACCTGCGCCGAGCTATGACTGCGGAGTCCTGCCACTGCGCGGACCGCACAGCGGCAAGCGGGCACGCGGAGCGTGCCAGAGCGGCTGCAGAGCGCATAGGTGAGCCGCTCTGGAGGGCGCGTTCCACGATGGAGCGACCCCCCCCTGCATGGCTTGCAGCCGCGCGCAGAAGGCCTCCCCCCCCCAAACGTTGCCCCTGACTCCCCCCTGCATGTTGTTTGTTTGTTCTTTCTCTCCCCCCGCCCCGTGAGGCCATGAGCGAACAGCTCCGCGATGGAGCGACCCCCCCCCTGCATGGCTTGGAGGCGCGCGCTGAAGGCCTCCCCCCCGCCGCATGGCTTGGCGGCGCGCGCAGGCGGGGACGCGGGGCGGGGGCGGAGGTCCACTCCGAGGAGGCGCTCCGCTCCTCGGAGGCGGCGCGGGGCCCCGCGGGCTCCGAGGGGCGGGCCCCGGGCCGCCCGAGCGACGAGAAGCACAACGGCGGGCTGTGCGCTGCGTGGCGTGGCGGCGTCAGCGCGGCGCGCAGACGTGGTTCAAGGGGCCCAAGGACACACAGATAAATCTACACAAATAAACCGATTCCCTATATATTCCCATATTTTCAAGGTTTTTGTCTTCCCGCCCAATTCCCATATTTTCCCATACTTTCTTCGGGATCGACGATTCATTGTGCCTGTGTGTTTTTCCCCCTCCTGAATGATCCGTCAGCATCGGGTCGGCGCATCGGATCGAATCGAGGTGTGCATCGCGTGGGGCTGCACTGGCACGGAGCCGAGATCGAAAGGGGTCGGCCGCGCCAGGAAGCACGACAGCACCGTGCAGGCCTCGGGCCGCATCGGATCGTCGGCACATCGGGCTCGGATCGGATCGGGCCAGCCGGAGTCGACATCGAACTGGACCGATCGAATCGGACCAGACCCTGGGCGCGCCACGCTGGAAGCGCGGGCGCCTGCGCGCGCCCTTGCGTGGGACGCCTGCGCGCGAGGGTCGGCACAGCCGTGCCCGTGGCTCTGCGCTAAGCCGACTCCGCGCACCCCGCCCTCGCGAGGCCACCTCGGAGAATCGGGGGGGGGGACGAAAGGGAAGGATAGGGCCTCGCGTAGCTGGTTTTCCTGGCGCCTCCTGGCGCTGGGAGGCGCCCACGTATCGAGGAGGAGGCCCGGCGGCGGGGCGGAAACCAGAGCCGCATGCAGCAGATGTCGCACCCCCCCCTCCCCCCTCACCTTGCCCTCTCGTCCGGCCCGAGGGAAGGGCGCCTCTCCGACCCGAGCCGCGGTGCGCGGGGCGCGACCACCTCCGCGCCCCTGGGGGACGACCCCGCCGCCCCGCGCCGAGGGGCCGCCTCCTCGGGAGGCCGCCCTGCCCAGGCCCCCGCCGCGGGGACTTGCTCGCAGCGCGGAGCCCTCGGGACCGCACTCTCGTCCCGAGCCGTCCCTCGGACCACCCTGGGGCCCGGCGATGGCCCCCACGGGGGCCCTAAGACGGCAAGGAGCCTCCCGCCGTGTTCATGTCGGCGGTGGACAAACCTCCCTTCAGTAGACCTCCTCTCAGTGAAAGCGGCCTGGGACCGAAGCCGACGGACCTGGACCCGCAAAAGTGACGGCCGCGACGCCCTCTCGCGAACCGAAAACGGCCAATTCCTGAATCGACGTGCCAAGGTAGGAAATCTGTCCACTCCCGATCTCGGGGATCTTCTGACCCGGGTCAATCCAGACCCGGGTCAGCACTGACCCCCGTCTCTTAGGCCCCGACCATCCTGTTGTTTCACCCTTCCGGGGCCCTGTCGAGGGCCCCCAAAGGGCCGACCATGGCAAGAGACCTCCGGCCGTGTCCTGCTGCGGCTCCCCCACGACACGCGGGGGGCCGCCTCCCTCGCCCGGCCCCCCCCCTCGCCGCGCCGCCCACGCGTGGCCTCGGCCCCTCGCCTGCCTCTCGGGCTCGCGCAGGTGCGCCAGGGTGACGGCGAGCACCTCGGGGGCCCCGAAACGGTGCGTTGAGAGGCCGTGAGCTGACCTCGGAGCCCCCAACGCCCTCACCGCACGGTCCGCCACCGCGTGGCTTTGGGACCTCGGAGGCCCCAGTCGCGCGAGACGTCCTCGGAGATCGACCGAAGTTCCAAAACCGTGCGGTCACATCCCAAATGCTGGCTGGCCCTCCTCCGGAGGTTCGGTGTCCAGGCCCCACATTGTGTCACCGGCGGCCTTTCGGGATGACCATGGGCACCCCCGGAACGCCCTCGGCGAGGCGCAGCCGCTGGAACGCCTTCCGAGGCAGGAAAGCCAGGAGGAACCGACGAAAACGTCCGATCAGCCCCCACGCGCGTCCTGCCATCGCTCGGACATCCATTCTCTGTGCTTTTTTCGGCTTCGTGCGTGGTTTTTTCGCCAAATGATCAAGGATGCTCCTCGATGGTCCTCGACGAAGGAAAAATGCACACGTCCGAGCGATGCCAAGGCGTTGTGGCCACCTCAGCGCTTAGGGGCCCCCGAGCGCCGCCCCTCCCGGATCCACGTGGCCGCCCCGGAACAGCTCGCGGACGTCCTCCGCCGGGCTCGTGGCGGCGGCGCCCGCGGCGGCCCCCGGGCGGCCCTCCGCGCCCAGGCTCTCGAGCTCGTGCGAGGGCCTCCAGCTGCCGTCCAGGCACACCGTGTAGTCGCAGAAGATGCACGCGAAGCCACGGCCGGAGGCCGGAGCGAGGAGAGCCGAGACCACGGCAGCTCTCCTCCTCCTCCTCCTCCGTCCCCGAACCCCTCTCCGGGTCCAGGTGCACCAACTCTCCGAGCTGCGCCCCGCCGTGTCGACGAGGGGCCCCGCCGGAGGACAGCTGCCACTGCCTCGAGCTCGCCCCCCTCTGGGGAGGGGCAGCGCTGGGAGAGGTACCCCCCGAGGGTGGTGCCCTGCAGGACCGTGGCGTGGTCGGCGGACGATCCGAGGAGGGCCAATTGAGACAACGGCGGCTCTCCCGCCCAACCCGACTCCGTTCAAAATCGGCCCCCAAACCCTCCGGGGGTCCATCCTGTTGAGCAGGGACCTACCGTCCCGGCAGTCCCATAGGCCTACCATGCTATGTTCTTAGTGCAAAAGAATGTTACCAAACAGCAGACGCAATCTTCTTAGAGCATGAAGCGGATGCGTTAAGACACAACGATCTTGGCCAGGACTGTTCTGAGAGCATTTCGTGCAGACTCCAAGGTTCCCAGACCATTCCGTGCTGGGACTATAGGCAGGTCAGGACGCCTCGCCTCTGCTCGATCCTGGCCCGCCTTCCGAGGCGGACCCGGCCGTGGCGACGAGTGGCCCTCTGGGAGGCCTCCCCCACGAGAACGGCCCGACGCCGGGGAGGGCCGCCGTCGTCTCCACGGGCCCTCCTCCGAGACGACGCCTCGAAGGGTGCGTCGCTGTCGTTCGGCACCACGATGCCGCCCGGCTGGAAGCCCGCGTGCCGCCGCAGCGCCCGGCTCGACGCCAGCGGCGCGGCGTCCAGCACGAGCGCCTGGAGGCCGTGGGCGCCGCCCGGGCCGAGCGGCTCCCCCGCGGGCGTGCCCAGCCGGCGAGCGGCGAGCTCGCGGGCGAGCTCGGCCAGGCGGCGGTTGCACTGCTGCTTGGCGGCGGAGCGGAGCTTCTGCCGCCACTGGTTCGGGTGCTGCCCAGGGTCCAGGGAGGAAGATCTGTGTGCCGATGCCACTGCCCCTCCGGTTGATGGACAAGATCCTGCACCACCCGCGCAACCGGGGCGGCGGCGCAAGCTTCCACGCGCCCCCCTGCCCCCGATTCAAAATGTTGATTGGCTGCGCCCGCGGGGTGCAGGATTCAGGCCAGTCGGCAGATCGACAATTCTCCATCAACCGTCCCTCGTCGCCACGGCTGGGCTCGCCTCGAGATTCTGGCCAGAGCGCATCCCTGGAGAGGCCTGCGGAGTAGCGGCATCGGTACCCTGTTTTGCCCCCCATGAAGGCGTTCTTGGCCCGTGGCGCCCCCAAGTTCTCAAGGGAGGACCCCACCACGGCCCCCAGAGCACCCGCCATCGAAGCCTAGAGGGCCCCAGGGGCTCAGAATGGAGCGGGGAGCCATGGACGCAACTTTTGCTTAGCGTGTCGCCACGGCGGCCCTGGCGGCACGCTATGCCCTGCGAGCGGATAGCGTGTCGCTCCGCTCCGCGGGGCGGGAGGCTCGGAAAGGCTCCGGACGTTGACGCTTCGGGACTGGGACACGGATTGCGCGTCGTGCCGAGGCGTGGTGGGCCAGACCCGGCGGAGCGACACGCTGGCCAAGCATTCCCGACCGCAGGCCAGGGCCACTTCTGGCAACACCCGGCTGGTACGATTCCATGCGCGCCGGGTGCCCGCTGCTGGCGCTGGCGGCGAGCCGAGGACCCCCGCGCCCAGCCATCATGTCGGCAGCGGTGCGCCCGCGGGGGCCGACCGGTGCTGGGTGCAGACGGGGGGAGGGCGTGCCGAGGTGTGCGCTCTCGACGAAAGCCTCGGCAACTGGGCCGGCGCCGCAGGAGGAAGTCCTTCGTCGGTCGCGCTGCTATATACGGCCTAGGGCCGACGTTACGATCTTTTTCGTGAAATGGGCTCGCGGAACTCTCGACTCCACCACCTGGGACTGGTTGTCCACCCCGAGTGGTTATCTCTGATGATCCCAGGGCCCAGGAGGGGCAAGACTGAGAAGAACTGGTCGCTCCTCCTCCTCGTCGTCGTCGTCCTCGTCGTCGTCGTCCTCGTCCTCCTCCTCCTCCTCCTCCTCCTCCTCCTCTCGTCGTATCCATCATCATTCCAGATCATCATCACCACCACCATCATCACCATCACCATCACCATCACCGTCACCGTCACCATCAGCATCAGCATCAGCATCATCATTTTCGTCATTATTGTCATCATCATCATCAGCATCATCCTGACCATGACCATGGTAACCATCAGCACCATCATCCTGATCTGCATGATCACCTCACCGTCGTCATCATGATCATCATCACCATCGTCACCTTCTGCCCCCTAAAATATTGCTCAGTGAGACAGCGGACCTCGTCATCAACATCACCATCACCCCCGTCAGTCGCCGTTGTCCTCCTCATCCCCCATTGTCATCATCATCATCATCATCATCATCATCATCATCATCATCATCATCATCATCATCATCATCATCATCGTCATCGTCATCGTCATCGTCATCATCATCGTCATCGTCATCGTCATCGTCATCGTCATCAACATCGTCATCGTCATCGTCATCATCATGATCATCATGATCATCATGATCATCATCATCATCATCATCAGCATCAGCACCAGCATCATCATAGCGCAAAGGCTCGCGCAAAGCATCTCAGCGTCAAGGCAGTCAAAGTACGCTCCCAGCTGCGGTTTCTTCGCGACCGCTGTAAACCTTCAATCCGAAAACATACACACACACTAAAAGGCACACACATACCCTGGCAACACGTGTGATGTTACTTGGCATGGGATCTCACTTTACCCCTCCCACCCGTCCGTTCTCATTGCGTTGAATCGTGTGCTATCTGGCGACTGGAGTGTCATAGTGACCCGTCGTTTGCTGCCCCATCGGGCAAATGGGCTTTTGTACTTAAGAGGGGGAGAAGCAGGAGGCTGAGGAAATGTGGATCAGGCAAGATGAGTAGGATGAGCAGGGGGATGAGGGAAAGGCAGAGGATGTGATAATATGGAGACAACAAGGGCGATTAACGAACCTGATCCAGAAATGTGGCTTGCGCTCGGGCCAGAACGCCACTCTGAATGACGGGAGCAAAGAACGATCCTGCAATGAGGCCAACGCTGAAACGGGATAACACTCTTGGAATGACGGAAAGCGCTCTGGTCCGAAACAGCAGACACATCCTCCATGACGTTTGACATCATGCGTGTGACGTACTTGTGTGTTGCGTGTGCTGTTTGTTCACGCCCATGCGGGAGAGAGGCTGTAACACGCTGGGACATTGTCAGGGAAGAGGGGAGGGTAGTATTCATCATGAGTAGTTGTACAGAGGAGAGCACGCAGGGATGATAAATGATGGAAGAGGATGAAGGGAGGAGAGAGGCGGGGGAAACAGAAGGGATGGAGGGACGGCCAGAATCCGCAGAGGGATTCCGACGTGCGCTCTCTGTGACACCTGGGCTCCATGCGGAGGCGGATGTCATCCTGGACGCTCTTGGGGCTTCTGGGATGCTTTCTTGAGGATGGATCACAGGAACTGTAAACAGAACGGTCGCTTAAGTCTTAGGCTTAGTACTGCAGGTTTGGTTTGGGGCTGAACTCGCATTTTTTTGGGGATTGACATTGGAGCCCGCTCCTGGCCTCTCAGGGCCATCTTGGGGTTATGTTGGAACCTCCTGGGACCTCTTCTTCCTTGGGCTCCCTCTCTCTCCCTCTCGCGCTGTCTTGGGCTCTCGCGGACTCGGGGGACGTCTTCAGACCGACACGGGCGGTCTCGAGGCCCTCTTGGGCCGTCGGGGGCCCAAGACGCGAAACCCGAGTACCTAGAACCCGCACGAACCCTGGGCAACTTCGCCAGATAACCAGAAGCGGCGGGAGCCCAGAGAGCCTTTATCCAGGAAGGCCTGGAAATAGCGCCGTTTGGCTCCCCCCCCAGTGGAGAAGCCCGAAAAGGTGCACTCGAATCTGGAGCTTTCCCATCAAGGTGAGGCGCGCGAAGCGCTGCCGTGCACCTGCATGTCTCTTACTCTCCCCCCCTGGGGGTCGGAACGCGCGCGGGGGGGCATGCACCTGGCCAGGCGGAGCCCGAGGAGCCGGGGCGAAGGGGGAGGCCCGCGGACCCGAAGCACCGCCTCGCCCTCGGGGCCACGGGCCGCGCGGAGCAGAACAGCATCACCGCGCGCTCGCTGCGTGCTCCTGCAGTGCAGTGAGCACGCGTGGTAAGAAGTCCGCCGACCCCGTCGGCGTGTGCGACAGGCTCTTCCGTTTGAGTCGTCATCGTCGCCGCTCCCCCTCTCAAGCGTTCCAGCCAGAGGGCACTCGCACATCACCGTAATCGAGTCGACGTGAAGTCCCTTCCCTTTGATCCCTCCAACGCCAGGGTGGGGGCGGGGGGGCGGGGGGGTGGGGGGGGTGGTACCAAGAGGGATCTGGGGGGGTTGTGACCCCCCCCCCTCGGGGGGAGCATCCCTCCCTGGGAGAAGCTTTCGGCTCCAGAGCGTCAGCATCGTCGTCGCCATCGTCGTCGCCGTCGCCCTCGCCGTCGTCGTCGTCGTCGTCATCGTCGCCGTCGTCATCGTCGTCGTCGTACCCCTTCAGGGTTGGCCGCACCGGCCGTAAGGCTTTCGCAGTCTCGCTCTGAGAAATCTAGGGGCACATCCTTCGCCGACTCTGAGCTTCACGGGCCTGCAAGCTACCACGGGCACATCGGGCGATAAGACGCTCTCTCTGGGGCAACCGTTGCAAGGTCGGCTTCTTCTTTGGTGTGCGTACCCCAGACATGCGACGTCCTGATTTTTGCAACACGCGGTCCCCCGAAGACTCGACCCTTCCCCCGGGACCAGCTTTTCATCTTGAGT